CAAACAGGAGCAAAATACCTGTAAGTTCTGAGCACTTGTTAAACAAAACTACATCACTTCATGCACCTCAGAATAAGCTGTTTACTAAGTAACCTGAGGAGTTTATATTGGGATACAAGGTTAAAAAAGCAAACATACAGGCCAAATGCAACATCAGTGTTATATGGGTACATCTTAACTTTCAATGTAAAAGGCTTGATAAGTAATTGCAGTCATTAATTCTTTTAAAAACTATTAAAAAACCTTTGCTTATAAATACAAGAAATAAATCCTCTGACATGGCTAAAAGCCTTTTGAGACTGCATCTTTCAAAATACACTGCATCAACTGCTTAAGAAGATGTAAGACTCCTTTAAAATGCTGAAACACAGCATTTGAGGAACTGCTTTTCTAAGAGGTTGTAAAAATACCTTTTAAACTCAGTGCCTATGCCTTGCTAAGCACATCAGTCAGCTAAACAGCATCAAGTGAACAGGTTGTGGTCGACATCGACACATATTCGAAAGCAAAGGCAATGTTTGGGCCATTGTTTCAGGGTAAACCTTGAAACGGAGGACTTCTGATAAAAGACCCCTCACCTTACTTAGCTCACTATTACTCCAATTTTCCTCAAATGTTTTCTTCTTTAGCACACATCTCTAGCTTTTATAAAAGCCAAATCTTTAATGAAACCTTCACCCTTTCTACTGCTGCACCTGCTCCGGCTCTTGCATTGGTTTTTGCGTCAGTGGGTTGTTAAATTCAGGTACCTAAACTAAGAATTTCTCGATTCATTCTAGAGCCAAACAAGTCAGAAGGACAACTCCAGGAACACTGCTGTGATGAAGGCATTTAACACTAAACTATCACAAACACAGTTCACACAGCATCAGAATCTAACAACTGACTATGCCAAGGCAATACAAAGAAGTGTCTGATTTTGAGTCTTCGCGACTCAGTTTACCAGGTCATGTTTTCACAAAACGTTTCATATTGAGTGCTTAATTACCAAACATGTTCACAAAGCCCCAATTTTGGGGAGAATTAACAGCACTCTGAAGGACAGAATTGTAGTTCAGAACTTCCTTGATAAACTGGATGAAGCTCCACACTTAATAGGAATAAAGCATCAAGACAGAAAATGAGGAACCTCGACAAAGGCAGCAATACCTGCAGAAAAGCATTTAGGACTTTTATCAGGCACCTCCTGTACAAAACTCAGATGCTCCTGCAATAAAGGCAAGTTACATACACTTACAGGATTCTGCATAGAGACAATGGCACTCCAAAGGATTACTGTATCTTAATTCCAAATGATTTTACGCTGAGGGTCCAGACTGACTACTGTGTACAATTCCGAGGAACACAAGACCGAAATTTCAGCTTAACTGCACAAAGAGCAAAACTGAAAGAAGATGCCCTACAATGAAAATGTAGAAATATTAATGAGGAAAAGATAAGGAGTGTGTGTAATCGGAAGGAGAATAAAGGAAACTTCAGAATACCTATCAAGATAAACCTTAATTTAGGAAGACAATCTCATCAGAGAGCAATTTAACCACTATTAGTGAAGACTCAGTTTAGATGTTAGTAAGAGCCCTACAATATTGTCCTTTAATTTTCTATAAAATATAATATATTGAAGATTTTAAACAGGCCACATGGAGAGATGAATTTGTTGTTGTTGTTGTTGAATCTCTTCAGAAGAGATTCACAAAACACCCACCAAGAATTTTCCTGGAATATTTATCCTTCCTCAGAGAACAACGAAGACAGATGAGGTGAAGTTCAGCACTAAGTCTCCATCATTCTACATTATTTATCAAACTGAATCTATTACATTGCATACAGATGTTGATTAAAATGGCCTGTACAGGTAGTGTTGTATAGTCAATCAGCGCCTGATTGTTGCCCTTGAGTATAATTTGCCTTCGACACGATTTGCAGACTGTTGCTAAACATCACAAAAGAGAAAGATCAGCAGTCTGCATGGCAACAGTTGGGAATGGCTGGTGTAAAGAGGCCAGTGGGACAGGATACCCAAAGCTTCCAGAGTGCCTCACTGCACCTCCGAGTTGTACAATTACCACTGGCATAAGTAAGAGCTGTATCATTACACCCCCAAACTTCTACGACTGAGTTTGGCATCTTGAATTCCCCAGCCATACTTAATTTAGCCATTTAACGTGTGTTTGAGTGTTTGTGAGAGACGATGTGATTTATTTCAAAGCTGAATTGTGCCCTGTGTGTACTACAAGGACACAAAAAACGAAGTTAGGCTGCATTAAATAAACAAACAACAGGAAAATCAGATTTTAAAGCCTCAATTGTCTCAGAGGAAAACAAATTTAGAATGGTGGAGTCCAAACTACACTTCTCTAAATGTCTCTACTTGATGGCAAGCGTTGAGTTAACCAAAAAGGTGCAGAAAACAAATACCTGTCCCACCCAGAATTTTAACAGCTGCGGTATTTACAGGATCAAGACCCTGCAGCTTGATGATTAATGAAGATTGACCATACCTGCTGACTTGCAGAGTCACACAAGAGCAAATGAGCCATGAGGAGGTTGTAAAAGGCAGGGCAGAGCCCCTGCAGGTCCAGCCTTCGCAGAGAGCTGCAGCACAACCTGCAGCAGCTCGGCTGGGACCCCTGCAAACGAGGCTTTCCCAGCCTAAGCCTGCTGTGTCTGCCTCAAAAACTCAAGTGTTAGTCTTTATTTAACACCTTGCTGCTCTAGCACATGCTCCTCTACAGCACTTTGAGGCTCTACAGCCCCGATCAGCTGAACACTCAAAAATAGCTGTGCAAAACAGAAGCCGCAGCTCCCACGGGATCCTGCCCTCAGGACAGACTGTGGATTCTGGTTTTCCCTCTGAAAGACTTTGTGACTCACACTTCACAATTTGGGGAGCAGCACTCACAGGCTTGAAAAATCAGGTGTTTTCCAGTCTCTAAGTCACGGAGGGAAAGCACATTGTCTTACTTGGTCAACTTTCATTTCGAAGCACTTGCTTAGTACAGCGCTCAGTTTTGACCATTATTTTAACAGCACGTGTTTCTCCTCGTGGAGGCAGAGGGTTATATCTGTAGTCCAGAAGCAGCATTTAGTCTCTTGTCACTACTAAGGAGTTTCCACTGCGTTCTGTTCCACTTGGGTAACTCAGTGAGTAACATATGCTCCATCCGAGCACAGGAGAAACATAAGTGCAAGTGGCATGCAAGTTTTTGCACACACAGTTTTTTTCTTACTCTGTACAGCTGTCTTGCCATCCTTGGGATCTTCATATTATAACAGAAATACAGTGCAAACCCTTGAACTAAATCTCTTTTTCTTCTAGTTACTAGCATCTAGCCGTGATAGAAGGGACGTAATTATTTATCTCTGCAAGCACTCTTTGGACACTTAAATAAGAATCTTACATCTGTATCCACAAAGGCAGAACAAGCAGACACCATCTGAATAAACTTCAGTTAATTGTGCTAATGTGGGATGAGCACAGTGAGGACTACTTGTGCCACAGACGCACAGATTTAGTTATGCATAAACTTTGAACCTCCCACCTGCAAAGCTAGAACACCAAGTTCAGGTTGCAATCCATACAATAAAGCTAATTAAACAACCTTCTCTCAGCTGAGATCCATTGGGCTTTTTTTTTTTTCAATCTAAGTAGAACTTCCATTTGCTTCCCACTCTGACAACTTCAAATTCCTCTGTACTTCAGCAAAGCTTAGAGAGTTTTTCACTGTGAATCAGACATAAAGGAAAAACTCAGGCCAATTTTTTTCCCATTTGCCACAGCCACAGAGACATTAACCACCGAAATGAGAAAATTAATGGTGACAAGTTTCTTTTAAAATAGATGAAGCACCACCATTTCTACTTCTTAACAGTGGCTGATCCTTCAATACTCTCTTATTTTAAAAAAAAACCCCAACTTTATTAAGAAGGCCATATGAAGAATATTTCTCCCAAATAATATTAAGAAATTATTTCATTTTAAGGAAGATGGAGTTATTCCAACATCAAGTAAGTTCTCACGTATTCTAGATTTTCTTATGAAATGTATGAAAACCAGGCAGAGGCCTCTAAGCAAACTCAATAGGAAAACAGGGCAATTAGTTGAGTTTGTGCACCATATTTGCTATAGAAAAATACAGAAGTTGTTTCAGGAATTGATGTTGATTTCTGTCTCCTTGTAGGTCACCTAAATTATAACTTCTGAGTATATCCCTTGAAAATCTAGGAATGCTTCTCTGAAGCAAGTGAAATCTATCTTGAAATCATTATTAAAACTAATATTAATTCATATCCTGTAAATTATAATCAATAACATCCAACAATATTTCTAAGCTTGGAAAGTCAAATAGCAAGCAATACCCCATCTGAGAATCAAATCTAACTACAAAATTTCCACATTCTTTAATAAAAATGACGTATATTCTCAATTTCCAGAATCCCCTTCATGAAGTAGCTGAAAATACCATTTTGTGAATCATCACTCTGGATTCTAATCCTTTTAATAATGATAAACATTTCATCCCACTGAATGTGTTCATTAAGTAAAGTACTACTGAGCATAAATAAAACAACAGAATCTAATTTATGACTGATAAAAACAGTCATTTACAGCTGCGGCAAACGCTTCTCAGAGTCATATTCTGCACCTCAATGGACAAAAATATCAAGGCAAAGAACTACAAAAAGCAAAACGTGAATAGAACAATTCTCAGATTCACTTTGCATGACAATTTCAGGGGTCCCAGGCTCCAGTTCAAATAACTGATGCTCATTTTTAACTGCAAGAAGGTGGAAAGGCAAGCTGAAGTCGAGGTGCAATAGCTTTGATCCCTTGAACGGGTTGCATGGAATATGAACCATGCCATGCTGTCCTCATGTCAACATCCACAAATATTTTTTGCTTAGAGTCTGCATTCTGCTGTGCATATCAAACCTCCCCTTGAGCCAAGCGTGCAGTAGGGAAAACTCCAAGAGAGGTAGGTCAGGGAAAGTTCTCTCACCTGGAAAGTTCCTGCGTGGTCTTCCTCTTTGTCACCTTCTTTTCCTTCCTTGAGGGCGATCAACGTGAAGCCACGAAAGTAAGCAGGGGTGGCAGCAGAAAGTGTCACTGAGGTACAATGGACAGAGAAATAATGAAAACACAGTATTAATTGTGAAATCAGCCACTTGCACATCATTTTGCAGCTTGAAAGGTGCGTGGTTCAAGTTGGTATCAACCAAAGCTAGAGCACTAACAGCGTGGAGCCAGGCCAACCAGATCACAAAATGTTCAGTCCAGGTTTCCACGTAAACTGAAAACACTGGCATGATGTGAAATAACCCCAGCTCTTTTTGGTTTTTTTAAAGCAGATTGATGATCTGCTCAGATTTACAGAGGGTTATTTTATTGTTGGTTTGGGGATGGGGACAAGCATGTTAGGTTTTGGGGTTTTTTTTTGTTTTAAATGTGAGGGAGCATTTCCTAAATATTTGAATTCAGCTTTTGCCCTGCTCTGAGCACAGACAAGGATCTGAGCATTTTAGAACACAGAAAGCCTCTCTATCTATAATGGGAGATGACCACATTGCCTGCTTCAGCTCAGCTACACTCAGCACAGCACTCCAGCTGGTGGAAATGGGGGATCTTAAACTACCCTTCTTTCGCTTTATCCTGAGGGCAAAACAGGATGCAAAGCTAAACTCATGGCTAAAGCTGACCTCTGGAGACTGAGCTGCCAGCTCTGATCCCCAAACCAGCCCACACATCAGCAAACACACTCTTCACACACTTGTCCTGACCAGGAGGGCAGCATTACATCCGCCAGGAGAGAACAGATAGAGTCATGCTGACTAATCTGATTTTATCGTGTTCAGCATCAGAATTAAATCCCTCATTTTCTGCTAGTGCAAGATATCTTCATACAGTTTTTCTGTTTACCATCATCAGCACCCAAGCACCAACCAGCAACACTTGAGTTCCATCAGTTGAGTTCTGTCAGCTGAGGCTCTTTTGAACACTTTCAGAAAGACTTAATGAGGCAGAACTTTTGAAGTTGCCCAACCCTTTTCAACAACTCAGGAGAATCCTTTTCTGAATCAGGGGTAAATTTTAGGGGGAAATTCTTTTTGAACGAAAGGAAAAGAGACAGAAAATTGAACTATGAATACTTTTAAGTAGCTTTTTTTTTTTTTACTTCAAGCATGTTGAAGACAGCTGTGCTTGTGCGACATTATTGTCACACTCTCCAACTCTGACTGGCACAATTAAAACTGAAGACCACACACAGTTTTCATGAGCAAACTGCAACCACCAGTGCTGCTTCATTGAAGATTATCCAGAATAGACTCCCTCTCACACAGATAGGCCATGAGGGGATGAATCACCTTGCTAAAAATGATAAATAGCCCTTAAAATATATCTATTTCAAAATATACCCAGAGTTCATTTGGAACACAGCAAGAGAGCTTTGATCTAGAAATTCAGTAGTGGAAAAATATAAAATAGGCTATTTGAAAATTTCTAGCATTATGCAGCTGTATTTGGGTCTAAAAATCATGATGTCTGTAGAAATACATAACTTTTCTGGCTGTATATATAAAGAAAAGGATTGGAGAGACTCATCTCAATTTTTAACCTTTTCAGAGTGCCATGCTTAGACCTGTACACCTGAAAACACCAATGCAAATTCAGAGTAGTAATTGGCATAATCCTCACTCTCAGGATTTTCAACAGGTTCCATTCCACGGAATTTTATTATGAAGTTAAACATTATAATTTTGAGGGAGACAGAAAAGTTCACATTTTATACAGAGAAACTGAGTGGTAGCATTCCACCATTAAAATTTCTGCTTACTTCACTAAATATTTCCCCAATTCATTAATTCATGATGTGGCAATAATTAGTATGATTAGTCTAATTTTGCAAACTCCTGCAGGTCTACCCAAATGAAAACCCACAGCCAGCCTCTCAGTTGCAGTAACTGAGAACCCAACAAGGGCAAACATATTACTCTTGCTTGAACACTAATTCTTAGAAATTAACTGCAATAAAGGCCTTGTACATGCAACGAATTTTTCCATACCATTTGCAATTCAAAAGTCTGAGTCACTAGGAGTAAAATGTGACACCAGAAATACTTAAATACGTGTGCAAGCAAAGGGAGAATCCAGCTGTGAACTGACTCAACGGTTTTCATCCTTTTCCTCACAGATTTACAGACCAAACCAGACAGTTTTCAAAATTCCAAACATCCTAAACAAACACATATCTATAAAACAGAGGAGATCTGAAATGCAACAGAAGCATCAAAAGAGAAAGAAAGAAAAAAAAGAGGAAGGTAATTCCAGAACCTGACTCATGGTTTTTGGATGCCTGGGGTTAGCAATACTCATGCTGTGGTTGCAGTCATTTAAACACAGAATAAATCCACGCTTCCTCCAGCATGAGTGATCCCACCCTCCCCAGCCTGCACTGCTCACACAGCAGCCACATCCAGGCAGCTGTGCTCTTGGCTGGACTAGGGAACACATCCAGCTGAGCAGTCAAACAGGCCAACCCCAACTGGAGGGTCCAGCTGGGTCCAGTCCCCGAGCGGCCGCTCTGCAGGCCTGGGAGAGCTTCTGCCAGTGCCAGGGACACACAGATGCAAGCGAGGGGCCAGGAGGGTAAAGACACGCAGGAACAGAGTGGACTCGTGGGATTTTAGAGTCTGTGCAACCTCAGCTCAAGGATACCAAGAGAGATGTGTGCTTTAGTCACCCCTGAGTTAGGTCAGAGCACGGGTTAACACCTGAGCTGAAAAGGTTTCTGTGAATTGTTTTGAACTACCGGTGTGGCTGAGAATATCACAGCACAAGGGTTTATCCTGAGCCCTCCTAAAGCAGAGCCTTGTTCTGGTGATGGTCCTGTAGTCACTGGCTCTGGCCTGAGTGTTTCAGCACAGCAGAGGCTCCAACTGCACAGGCAGCTGTGGGAAGCTGTCAGACCACATCTGGTTTTCACAAGAGGGTGGCCCTTTGTTGCAAAAGAGCTGAGAACTCTCCTTCTTGGGCTAAACTCTGCCATTTTAAACAACAGCTGAGTATTGCCCACATGTGTGTTCACACTAATTAATGTTCACTGAACAATATGAACTTCCTGTAAAGATCAGTCAGGATCAGTGCAATCTCAAAGTCAAGGATTTGACTTTAAAAGGGAAGATTACGTATCACAGTTACTTTTGTCTGCTTCCATCCCCTCCAGCAAATATCTAATTACCTTACAAGCTGCACTTTGGCACACACCTTCAACATGCTCCTCTTTCCCTGGTGTCCCAAGCTAAAGGTGGGGTGATCAAAGCTATTGCTCCTTTGGTTTCGGGCAGGAAATCTGACTTCCTACATCCTACTCTACTGCACATCCTGTGCCTTACATTGCACGAGTACCAACAAATACACTTTCAATATCTACTTCTATCTATATTTTGTGAAACATGAGAATGGCTAAAAGAGTTACAGCATGAGCTCTTGTAAGCACTTGTGAGAAGTGTTTGCATGTTGAGTGGCAGAAAAAAATGGAAAGAAAAAGACTCCACATTCCTGAGAAGTCCCCAAACCAACGCAATGAAGTGTGTCACATTAAGGGATCCCTTCCTCAAAAACTGAGGAAGTGAACTGACCTGCAAGTGGAAATTCCATTAAAAACAGAAACAGCATCTGCATAGAAGGAATGTCTAAGGATTGTAACTGGTCAAATCTCCCTTTTTTTCTTCAAAATAACAACTTCATCATCCTATAGTGGAAAGTATGTCCACTGCATGTTAGCACGTGAAATGGACATATTACAGTCTTTACATTTTAATAGGATTAAACTTGCCTCACCTTTTCATGGAAACCTCATGCAATCATTACTCTAACTCAGCAATCAATAAAGAAGGGAGTGAATATTTGCAAGGATCATTAATTACCCTGTAACACTGCCTAAACTTAAGGCTCACTCGTGCCTTTGAACGCAGCGGGAACTTTGGCCTTCGGTGGAAACGAGAGCACCCACATCGAGGTCAAAGTTAACCAGCAGGCAGGAGAGGACCTCGACCCCACAAACCTGGCACTCACAGGAAGACCTGCCTCAGTGCATTTGTCTGCCTGCTTGACAAGGGGAGAGACAACAACCTCACAGCCTGAACGACCAGGCAGGCAAGGCCACTCGCAGGCTGCAGCATCAGAAGTCCCAAAGAAGGTGTCAGAAATCAGTCATGCCACTTCCCCTGTGAGACACCACAAAGACCACAGCCATTGCTGCTTTGTTAGACATGAGGGAGGAAAGGAGGATGGCTCCTTAGCCCTGCTGCTACCTCACTTTTAATCACCTGAGACAGGAAAATGTGCCCTCATTTACTGCTGCAGACCAGAGGAGGTGCACACCTACTCAGATGGGTTATTCAGTGCCCAGGGCCATTGTTCTCTCTCACAGCCCCAGAGGTGGAAAACCAAGGCTTCACAGATCCATGCACACAGATACACCCAGGATTTCCCCTTGGGGCAGATAGGCTCTGATTGATCTAAAGGTGAATAACTGCAGGAGAGCCATAAAAACTTCCCCAAGGACAAATAGCAGCGGTGAACTCTGGTCTGATTCCCACACTGCAGGAGCGCTGAGATATTTCCTCCAGCCATTGCAGACTGAGGGTCTTATGCAAGTGTCACATCAACCCATGGGTGAGACCATCATGAAGATGAATGGATGTCCCTCCGCTATCCCACTCTGGGGAGTACAGCATTTGCATGTACAGTTAATTCCTACGTTATTCACCTTGAAAATAGTAGTTTATTCCAAGAGCCCACTAGGGAATGTGCCAAGGATCCAGACTGCATTAAATCAAGCGGGGGCCATGGAAACAAGGCACATTTGGCTCCAAGGCAGAGGAGGTTGTGCAAGTCTTTTGCCATGTTGCATATATAGTAATTTGCAGATTAAAAGAAAAAAACAACAACACAGACCTGTCATAACATCTAATTGTTTTAATCATTAGTTGGATTTTCAACCCCATGTATAGAACAGTAATAAAGTTCCAGTTGTGCTGCAGAAATTCCTTTGAAAATGTGCTCTTAAAACTTTCTGCATGCTGTTAGTTTTAACTACTGCCATAGATAATGTATATCTTTCAGTAACATTTACTTATGTTCTTCCAACCATTCAGGAAGCGTCCTTAAAGTACAATCTTCACAGGCTAATGTGCCACCTGAATACTTCAGTCTAAAGTATCAGAAACGTAGGCACATATTTCGTTCTACATTTTAACTTTTTTTCCCATTAGGCATAATTTTCTCACTTCCAAGAAGCTATAATATCCTAATGTGATTTTATTAATTGAGTTCCTAATGCCAAGACCTAATATCTCCCGAAAATTAGTTCTGCTAATTCATCTGGGAGTTTCTTTCTTCCTCCATCTCCATGCAATAAAAAACTTCTTTGTAGATGACTGAAAACACCCACTAATGCTTGTACAGAAGTGAACTCCCAAACTTTTAAAGAACATTCACATTTGTCACTATCAAAGAACTTGACACATCTTTATCCTGCTTAGTAGATGCATCAAACTGACATGCAACATGAAATCTTTCCGACTCAAGGTACTAATCCTCATGTCTGGAACAGCTCACTAATCAGTAAGAAATGTTCATTTCCTGACACCACATTAAAATAAAACTTTTTTTTTTTGAGAAAAAACATCGAGTAAAACCATGCATAGTTACAGACTGATGTTCAAAACAGGTAAATCACTGCTGCAGATGTATTTTTCAACCACAATGATTATGTTGTATGCACACTTTTTTCTCCCTATCTGTACTAAGATTCCCATACTTGTGCAATTAGAAAACATTGCTCTTTATCCTAAACCTAAGAAAGGTTGGAAGAAACACTTTGAATAATCTCCCAAAATTTTTTTCCCGAAGTGATGCCTCCGAAGTACATTAGTTATGGAACTTAAAAATGTCCAAATTCTTTTTAAAGTGTTTTTAAAATACAAGGTTAGCAGTACATTACAAGAAGGTTTATTTCCAAAAGCATCACATAGTGAGGCAGGAAAAGTGACCCAAACCTACCTTTGCCTATTAATTCGAAAAATACACTGAAATGTGCTTTGGGCTTCATTTCAAGGATTGTATGTGACATGCTCAAGGAAGAACGAATGTCTCCATCTCTTATTTACAGTGGTCATTAGCACTGTCTCTGCCTCTTTCCTGTTTGAACCATCTGTTCATTTACCCAGAAAATAAAAAGGGGGGTGGGATAAACGCAAGTGGAAAATGTGGGAAGTTGGCAGCATGCTGCATCACTGTTTGCCCATATGCTAACTCATTATATTAGCATTCATATTTCAGGGCAAGAACAATTAGCTCCGAGTTTCCCCTCCTTCCTGCTCGGTGCTAAAGCTTCTCCTGTGCACTGTGCTGCGTTTGAAGGGGTAGGAAGAAATCCCACAGAAGTAGGTAAACGGGGTGTCACAGCAACTTGTGATCTCGTGGTAGGGCTGAGCCGGCAGGGAGGAATCGTAAAAGGGAAGGAAATTCCTCTTAATGAGGAATGCTTGGGAGTAAAGTGATACACTGAAACCCAACTCCCTCTCACTTGTCATGAAAGCATCCCCAATAAAGTAATGCGTGGGAGTATATTACCCTGTCTTAACCCACACAGTCACAAACACACACGCCAAGAGGGATCCAGAGATGACAGGCAGAGACACGCTACAGTTTCAGAGCCACTCACTCATCCTGGCCATTATCGTTAGCACGGGATGTAGAGGATGTCCGACTTACCCCGGTAACTGTTTCCAGGCTTGTAAAATTCTGGATCGCCCTCCACCCTGAGGCTGAACTCATTGTACCCTTCCCTCCTGGTGCCTTGGGCTCGCAGGATCCGACTGCAGTATCCCTCGGATTTCGCGGCTTTCTCCAGGGTTTCGTCGGAGAAACCCTTCGCCACCAAGGGGAAAGTCAGCGCCAGGAGCCGCAGGGCCAGCGGCTGCAGATGCGCTCCCATCCTCGGAGCAACTTTTTTTTTTTTTATCGCCGGGGCGGCGGTGCCCGGGAGCGGGGCAGGGTGGGCGCCGGGCCGGGAGGCGGCGGGACGGGCAGGACAGGGCAGGACAAGGCAGGGCAGGACAAGGCAGGGAGGGCAGAGCCGTCTCGGGCAGCCCCAGCCGGCAGCGGCCCCCAGCGTGAGCCTGCCAGGTCGGATCGGAGGGACCGGCTCGGCGGCTGCCGGGGAGAGAGGGGAGGGGAAAAGCAGGGAGGGGAGCAGAGAGGGAGGGGAGGGGAAAGCAGGGGAGGGAAGTCTGATCTTGCCCAGATCCCGAAGTGAAGTGCTGTTTTGTCTCAGAGCGTGTGATTAGCAGCTCGGCGGTGTTTACTTAGCCGAGGGAATTCACAGGGTTTGGTGGGAGAGCGGAGCAGGGGACGCTGCCGTCTCCCAGACACCCAGCGCGGAGCTGCAGCCGCTAGAGCTGAGCCCACAGACCTGAAATTAATCACCCGCATTCCTGCCAAAGTCTATAGTTACCGTAGGGATAACAAGGCTCAAAGAATTTCCCGACACCCCCCCGCACCCCCATCTTTCTCCAAACCAGCAGACATGATAAACATCACCAACTGAATGAGCGCAGATGGACCAATACAGCCGCCTGCTCGCTGCACGCCTGGCAAGCGAGGAGCATCGGCTGCAGCTTCTCGGGTACCACGGAGGAAAGATGGGGAGGTGGATGTGCCAGAAACACGAGATTCATTCCTACACGAGCCTGCAGCTGTGCACGCCCAAGATGCAGCCCGTGTAAGTGCACTCACAACAGCTGGGAACACAGTTCACCTCGGTGAATGTGGGAGGTCTGCTCCAGCACCCGGAAAAACCCGAGCAGATGCGAACAGGAGAAAGCCAGGAGAGAGCAGGGCTCATTATTTTGCCTTTACACAGGGCACGCTGAGGCGCAGTGACACTGAATGACTTCTCTAAATCCACAAAAGAAGATTACAGCAGTGGTTTTAAAAAGAAAAAGAGAACCTAGACCCCTGCGGTCCCTAACTGCAGGGTTTTAATCCCAAAATGCTGATCTTCTCTCTCTCCTTCCCTCCACTGCTTTGTAAGTGGGGGAAAAAAGTCAGAAAGGTCTTCAGGCAGGACCTGAATACTTTTGAGATGCCAGATGTACAAGAGGGCACAAACCCCTTTCTAACCACTTTCTCCAGGAGTGGACTGAAGCAGACTCATGAACACAACCACATTTAAGCACAGCTTCCAAGAAAGTATGAGAAACAGCAAGCAGTTTGAAATTCTGCTAGAACGCACTAAGGCATTTGCTAGCATAAGATTTGCAAATGTTTGGGTTCCAAACTTACCTCTGGGAGGCGATTAGCAACAACCTCATGTTGTGTGACAAATAAGGGCGTTTCCTCAAGGTGTCTGCGAGAATGCTGACCTTACTTCCTGAAAGGTTACTCGCCAAGAGCTTTGCTACTATAAGATTATTAATATTTTGGTCTCTACTCTACTTGTTTATAAAGAACACAGCCTCAAAACAAACATTCAGACAGGACAGTGTTGGCATTTGGATGAGATTTTACCTTTTACTGCAAACAGGGAGCTGCTGACAGTGTCTCTCCACGTGTCTGTGAAGAGGTGACAGTCAGGCTCTCATAACCACTGAGTGGTGGCATCCAATTTTTAAGCACGTGCCTGCTTAGGCACCTGCAACAGTGGCTGGGGTACCATCTATATTGCTTCTGCCAGAGCACCTGGAGAGCCAGGCTGACTGCAGAGACTTCCACTGATGAGAAAGAAGAGCTTGACTACGGGAGGACAAGCAGCCTTTCCAGCACAAGTTGCTTTTTCTGCTCCTCTCATCGTGCTGGATGAGGGAGAATGAGCAATCCTGACTTTAACAGTGTCACATGCCAGGTCACCTGCCTCCACTCAGTCCGGTCCCCTCACTGTCCCCCTGCCAGTACGAGGGCAAAACAACTCACCATCTGTATCACTCACCATCTTCACCAACAATATCCAGTCTGCTTTTGCTACTGAAGCTTTGAGTTGGCATAGCTATGCAGAAGAGTTTGTTGCATGATTCCAAAAACCCATGTTCACTGGGTAATTAGGTGACTACAGTTCAGTAATGTTATAGACCCTTGGGTCTCATTTGACCATGATCATCTCATTCATTTTATGAGAACAAGCTTTGCTTAATCCAGGTTCTTCAGTCGAAGCTATCAGTGAAGAGGAGCAAACTCTGAAATGGGTAAGACAACTGTAACAGTACTGGTACAAGATGCCTGGGAATTTGATCCATTCTCCACACTTGATTTCTCAATTCTCTCGCTGAGATTGATTGAAAAGCAATTACCTGACTAAAGCATTCACAAGAGGAACCACACAGGCTTCTGCACAATCCACCTTTGTTTTGAGCCAGAGTTTTGTGTTCTAACTCAACACTTCTCAAAGGATATCATTTCAAGCCCTTTTCAGATTTTGGGGGAGTTATGTGGTAACTAAATCATCAGCATCTATCGACTCTAAACTTTCAATAGATTCTATATCTCTTACTTTTTAATTCCCGAATTGGCCTGGCCTGTTACTCTTAGTTTCTTTTTTATTCAAAAGCTGAGGTGCAGTAAAGTTTCCTTGAAAGGTGTAAAGGAGCCTCTTGTTAAAAGTGAATGCCTCAACTTAGCAACTGATACAGATAAATTAACTTGCACTGCCTACAGCCGTGAAATGAGTAATTTGTCGTAGAGATGGTTTAGAATGTGGGCAATGTCATTAAGCATGGGCATCCTCGGGGGTTTTCTATTTGTTCTACTAATTAGTGTGTGTTTGCCTAAAGCATCCAGCATGATGCATCAGTCAAAGATGCATGCAAACTGATGAATCCAACCATCCATGGCAAATTTAACAGAGGAAGCCTCGTATCTGGGAGACTACAGCGCTTCTTTCCTTTGTGCACCCTCCAGGATGAATAAAGTTGCTGTCCATGACTATTAGGCATAACAATCGTTACTTGGGATAATATTGCATCTGACAGAGCTGTAATGGTCGGAGGAAACTCTCCACCTCCCCCTCACCCCCCGCCCAAAGTGGGCTTTTCTAACAAACAAAATCATTTCACAAGATCAGCAGTCTTTCTCACTTTTAGCTTCTCCAATAAGGAGCCCACTTCAAGGGGCACTTTAGAAGACTGCTCTAGCTACTGCAGAATACCCCTGCATTGGGCTGGAAGGTCTGATGGGTGGAATTTAAATTGTTTTGCTTCTGCTTCTGTGATTTCAAAGAGTTTATTTGAAGTCTTGGGAATTGTCTACAAAGCAACAATGGGCAATGCAGTGCTTGACTTGACAACACCTGATTTTAGGGACCTTAGCCCTTGAAGTAAACCAGTACCTCAGGTAACTTGTCTGGGCTGTAGGATTCACCTCCCTAAACCCAGGAGCTGAAACTTAAGCTTAGCTTTAACATCTTACATAAATAAATAAAGTAATGATAACAACAGGGGAATCCATCTCTTTCTCAAGGTGACTTGCAAAAATGATACCAACTCTCTTACACAGGAACTACTGACTGAAATATCCCTGTAGAATGTCAGATACGTGGGTTTCAGCTCCTTGCTTGGTTTGGATCTTCAGATCCCCATCTCTCACTTCTCAGGAAGCTGCTAATCATCTGAAGCTGAACTGAAGCTCAAATGAGAGCAAGGAAATTGAGGGTTTTGTATCAAATAAAATGCATTTTCCAGAGACTAAGAAGGTGCTTTTTCCTTCTTCTGAGACATTAACTGTATTGGGATCAAAAGCTATTCAGGGGTTCAGGTGATCACCTCACACTTAAAGCTTCTAGTAAGTGCATCCCAAATACCTCTACCAAATTAGGAGACACCTGTAAAGGCAAGTCCCTAAAAAGATGTTTTTCTCATGAGCTAAATATTCAGCTGTTCACAAGTGGCAAGACAGAGGATACTGCTGTTGGGTCTAAGGAAGAGGGCATTGGATGGCTGGCAAACAACACCGCAACACAATCTGCAATAAAACCTGTGGTGGCTGGGAAGGTGAGCAGGGAATTTGGGGACTGCCCTTTCAAATATGCCCATCTCACTTTTAGAACTTTATGTGTTAGTATAGATCTAGCTATTAATCTAATATGCGTCTCTCTCCCTTCCCACTGCCCCAGCAGCACAGTCACTTCTTCTTTACCAAGATAGAAACTCACCCTATTGATTTAGATGGAACAATAATCGTGTTGCTGTTAAAATTCCCCTCTATCCTATAGCAAGAATGAGGCTTTTCTAATACAGATTGGTTCGTGCTGTCTTTGAAGAGTGTTTAGAAAGGGATCTGGAGATATCTGCTGTCCTATTAGACAAAGGAAAGAGCTTGGGAGACACTCACAATGATTTCTTACTGCTCTGTAGCACTGTTCTTGACTCCTTTTCTCTTCAGAATCTAAGCAGTGACGAGTAATGACAATAAATGTTTGCAGAGGTCTGTTTGCCATTTATACCACTGTCAGTCAATACAATGTATCTCCAATATTAAACTTCCCAGTAGCTCGTTACATTTGCCTGTTCAGTCATGCATGTCTTCAGCATATTTTTTACACTGACAATAAAAGGAGTTTTCATTTCCAATACATTTTGTAGAAATATTTGGTTCCTGCCATGATGAGAATAGCATCATACATATTCCCAGAGAAACACTGCAATGCTGAGAGAAACAGGGGGAGAGAGACCAGCTCTGTTAAACACTCCTCCTTGGCATAACTGGGGCAAAAAACTGAATGAAGCTGGAAAACCAGCACAGAGGCTGCAAAAGATCTAGAAAAGTCTTGCCAGCACCCCAAATCTAACACAGGCAGAAAGGGATTTAAAAACTAAAGCTCCTCTTGAATGGATTTTTCAAGATCAGATGTTGACAGAAAATCATCTTCCACACGCAGTCTGTTTTGGGGAGGAGGTTGGCTAAGGGTTCTTGGGATATTTAAACTCAGGATTCCTTCCACCACAGGAAAGTAAACACATTCTTAAAAAATCTCTCCCTTTATCCCACACAACTACTCAAGAGATATCTTGGAAACCCCTGAAAACTCCCAAGAGTAGAATAAACAAAACCAGTTTTAAAGGTTTTAAAACCCTTTGTTCTAACCCCAAATTCAACACCTTGGTAATTTATTCCATCACCTCCCACAGATTTTACATGCTTGCTGGTTCTCCTGCATCAGCCTTGACCTCAGTGCCTCTAACTTGACCATGCCTGGCTTTATAAAATACTACTGAACAATAACCAAACTGAATTCAGCTTTTTGGCATCTTTGCCATTTAGAGTCATCTATTTAGTCTGTTTTCTTTAAGTCCCTGAATTGTTCAAAACC